AGACAGATAGGCATTTTGTATGATTTTCACCAAGAAATCAAGCAGGAGGGTGTAAAATGAAATAGTGGACAAGCTGAACAGTGGCTCTTGGGCTGATTTTCTGGGAGGTGGCTTCTTCAACCTGCTGCACACATCTCTCCAGTAAATGTGACAGTAACTGTAAACTAAGAATAACCCAAGAAACTCAAAGATGAAGGGAAAAGAGAACACAAGAAGAGCTGCTTCAGGGTACAGACTGATGAGCTAAGAGGATTTCTATTGTCATAAAGTAGTTTTTCCCATAAAAAAGCAGGTAAGAGCACATTGTTCAGAAAATGGTGGAACTATATTATTTTGAATCAAGAGCTTTTCCTTGGAGCTGGTCATCTGCTTAGTGAGAAGTGGCTTCATAGACACCATGGGGAATTCTTTTCCCTAGTCAAGAGGTTGAGCCATGAGAGTGCAATTGAATTTCCTTTCACTTGCCAAACTAAGTCCTGAAGCACTGAAGAGGTATTTTGCTCAGGTTTCGCTGGATTTCTCCAGTTCCAGCCACTCCAATGCCATCACCTCCCTGCCAGACTTCAGGAAGCGATTTCTGATTTTTTTTTCAGAAGTGAAGCAAAACAGAATTGCCAAAGCCACCTGAAATCAGTGCAGCCAATGGTAATTGCTTCCCAAACCTTGCTCTCAGTGCACAAGTCTTCATGGGTTAACTGTTACATATTGTTCATAAAATGCACTGTTGTCAGAAAATATTTATGTTAGCAGCTGTACCGGCAAGGTTACTACCAAAATATCCTTCTGTGCTTTGGGGTTTGGTTGTTGGTTTATTTGTTTTGTTCTTGTTTGGTTTTTTTTTTAATCCTCATCCTGTTCTAAATAGGGGAATGATTCGTTCCTCTCTTTCTGTTTAATTTCACTTCAGCCTACTGTTTTCTGTTTCAGATGAAAGGAAAGCTAGTTTGTTCATAAGGGAAATATGACTGCATAAGCTTGGCATTCAGAAGACAGAACTAGACCTGTTTGTATCTTAGAATCATAGAATTGTAGAATGGTTTGGGTTGGAAGGGACCTTAAAGATCATCTAGTCCCAACCTTCCTGCCATAATCATGGACATTTTCCACTAGACCAGGTTGATCTAAGCCCCATCCAACCTAGTTTTGAACAATTCCAGGAATGGGGCATCCACAGCTTCTCTGGGCAATGTGTTCCAGTGTCTCACCATCCCCATAGGGAAGAATTTCTTCCCAATATGTAATCTAAACCTGCCTTCCATCAGTTTGAAGCCACTCCCCTTTGTCCTGTCACTACGTGCCCTTGTCCAAAGTCTGCCTCCAGCTCTCTTGTAGCCCTTTTAGATACTGGATTTTGAGTAAGGCTGGCATATAATGCTTGAAAGAGCAAAACCAGTGAAGTTACCATAACATGAACTACCTTGAAATTACCTACAGCTGAACTGACTTGCCCTATAGGTCCCTGATCTTATAGCCTGTGGCAGTGGTTATCTTATAGCAGGTACAAATGGATGGAAATGGCAACAAGGAAAAATAATTTGATATAGCAGCAGCCACTGAACACAGTTTGAGGCCCCAGGGCTTTACTTTCAAGAAAAAAGTTGTCTTCCTTGCTAGAACAGTGTGCAAACATTTCTTGATCATCTTCCTATATTAAAATTACTGAGGGAATTACCAGTGTGGTGAAAAGGGTGAGGGCTTCTATAGGTTAACACGCAGGATCAGAGCCTCAACCAAACTCAGCCACTGTAAGAAAGGAGATTTTTTTCTAGCCATGACACATAATTTAATTTACAGTTCTGCGCAGAAAGGGTGATCAGTGGTAAATTCCCAAATCCAGCACCCCGAGACACAAAAAAGCAGGCCTACTTATACAGTTACAATCTTAAGCTATTAGCATATCTTACTGAAGTCACTACTTGGCTAAGTTGTTATTGGCTCATCCTTTCTCTGCTTTGAATTAAAGCCATTTAATTCATGTGTGCCAAGAAATCATAATGCATGCTCAGTGAGTGGTGGTCTTTTTGTGGGCAGGGGGAGCCTGAGCTGGGGTGTGTTTTTTACTATTATAAGGAGCAATAGTTCATCACTAGGGCAAGTTCTCACCACAGAACCAGTCAAAACAGGGTTTTTTCTAGCTCATCGTTACACATCCCAGACAAGAAGGATTTTATCTTTGTTTTCCCCCTTCATGAACTTAGGCCATCAATTTCCTGTCTTCCACATTCCCATGGTTATTGCTTCCATTGCTTAACCACTTTATCTTGTTATTTGGAACTTCGCTCCTGTTATTCATCAAGGTGGGAACCAGGATGGAAGCACTTGTGTGGAACCCCTCTGGAGGCTGGTTGCATTGGTCCCTGAAGCTTGGTCCATATTTAGATGATGTACAATTACATCCATTCCTATTCAAGTCATGACAGTGATTGATTTATGGCCCTGTTAAAAAGCCAAGATAATTTGAACAAGCACAAGCTGTAATGAGTCGGAGTGGAAATGAACTGGAGCCACAGACCAACTGGAGAGGGAAACAAACTGGAGCTGCAAAAAAGCTGGAGCCAAAATGAAGCCGAGGAAGATTAAACCCAACTGGAGCCTAAAATGTGCTGGAAGCAAGAACAAACCAGACCCATCCACGAGCTGGACCTGAGACAGACTGGGGACAGAAACAAATAACTTGAAGCTGCAAGTGAGCTGGTGCCATAAACAAGCTGGAGCTGGAAGTAGCCACAGCCGTCCACGAGCTGGAGCCACCAACGAGCTGGAGCCACCAACGAGCTGGAGCCACCAAGTCCCCGCAGCATCTCCGGGCAGGCTGAGCCAGGAGCGGGGCCGTGCAGAGGGCAGGCAGCAGCAGCATCACCCTCGGTGCAGGCAGCTCGGCTTTTTCCTGGGGCATCCACACCCCACGCGGGGCTCTCGGGCACAAGTGGCTCCCGCTGTGGTAGATTCCAGCTCTCCCCAGTTCCATCAGAGCCAGGCGCCGGGCCGAGTGGTTTGTCCTGCCGGCAGCGGCTCCGGAAAAGAGCTGCGGAGAAGAAACCAGGTGGGAGCAGGGGGGCCTGTAGCAGGAGGGGTCACCGGCCGCCCCGGGAGACCCCCATCCCCGCTGGGTCTCCATCCCCACCAGGGGGACATGGCTGGGAGCCAAGGCCGGGAGCCGCCGGCGTGGTGGATCTGGGACTCATCCCGCGGTGGAAAGCGGAGCATTTTCGGGGACTCCCATCCCCAGCGGCCGAGCTGCAGCTGTTCCCCAGGCCAGGAACCCCGGGCCGGTGCCTAAACCGCCGGGAAAGCCCCGGGCAGATCCCACCATCCCGGGCGCCCGCGGCGGGGAGGGAGCGAAGCGCCGGCCCCGCACGGTGCCGCCGCCCGGCGGGCGCGGAGCGGCACCGCAGCCTCCGGTACCGGCATCGGTGTGGCCATCGCGGTGTCCCTGCACAAGGCAGGGGCTCTGGGGAGGACATGGCCGGGTCAAGGGCGGCCACAAGCCGTGGAGAAGGCAGGGGTTGCCGTGGCACCCGCCAGCAAGGAGGACCCCGAGCAAGGAAGCGCCCCCGCTCTGGGAAGGTGCGGGGGAGAGCATTCCAAGAGGGTCCTGTGATAGCACAACAACATGGCAGGGGGCTGTGGCTCCCAGAATGCCAGGTCTGGAGATCAGCTGGAGGAGGTGCTCTGAAGCACTGAACGAGCCTGAAGCCGGCCATCTCCTCCTGGGTGGCAGCACCAGGGGTACAACTTCTGGCAGGCTACACCATGGCTGGGATGGACACCATAGCTGGGATATGGACACCTGAGTTGAGATGGACACCACAGTTGGGATATGGACAATGTAGCCTGGATATGGACACTGTAGTTGGAATATGGACACCACAGCTGGGATATGGTGTCCCTATACAGGCCCTGTGCACAGCAGCAAGACCCCCACTCCTCCCCACCTCCAACCCTCAACCTGTGAATGACCAGCCACAGCCATAAAGAATTTGTCAAAAACCAGCTTTGCCATTGAAGCCACTTGAGGCAGAAAACAAGTATTCCATAGCTGGAAAGGTCTCATGGAAGAGCCTCTCCCTCCATGTCCCCACAAGACAAGCACCCTTCCATGCTCGCCCTGGCCATGCCCCCCCGAGCCATGACCCCCCATGGCATCCCAAGCCACATCCACCCCCATGTGCCCCCCAGCCATGTCCACCCCATGCCCAGAGACAAGCGTTACCACCCCCATTTAGACCCTGGTCTTTCCCCCCAAACTGTCCTGTGCCCCCACTTTGAGCCACACCTCCCTATGCTGTAGGAGTACCAGGGTGGTCACATCAAGAGCCTCCCCACCAACTCATGTCTTATTTAAAGTAGTTCTGCTCTAAGCCAGTTATGGTTTACATTGGGCGACAGGAGGGGTTGGGCACTGTGAGCTGGGCAGCACGAAGTGTTCACTGGGCTGGGGACTGTCTTTTGTGTTTCGTTTATTGCTGTGATTGTTTTTTTACACACTGTTAATACAACTCCTTGGGGAGGGGGAACAATCCCGGCTCCTGACCTGGGACCGCGGAGGGTGGGCACTCCCCGATCTGGGGCTATGTCGGGGGGCCGGGCTGGGCGATCGGAGCTTCCCTGGGTGCTGGGGGCTCCCCCAGGGGCAGGGCGGCTGTGGCAGGGGCAAGCGTGCGCCCCCGACCGCTGTCCCTGCTTGAGGGGGCGGCAGGAGGGGGCCCCGCGGGTGTGCCCCGCTAGCCTGGGCCCCAGGCAGGCGGCACGACAGGGACTCAGAGCTCTGCCCCGCTCCCGGTGCCGCCTAGGCCACTGGGAACACCACGGGGAGGAGGACACGGGACAGGGGCTGTGGGTCACGGCTGTGCCCGGGGCAGGAGCAGGGATGGGTCGGGAGGGGACACCAGGGACTCTCACAGCAGGGACAGCGCTGCTCGGGAATACTGCCGCCCGCCATATTGTGCGACCTCCCTACCCCGCCCACCGGCCGCTACCCACCAATCAGCTCTCGCCGCCCCCGGAGTTTTGGCCAATCGTAACCCGCCGTTTGCGCGTCCTCCGCCCTTCCCTCCGCCCACCGCCGGCCGCCCCTTCCGGAAGCACCACCGCTCCTTTCCCGAGCCACCACCGCCCCTTCCGCCGGAGCAGGGGTTGGGCTGGGCTGCGCCGCGCCGCGGGGCGCGGTCTCGGCCATGGTCCGGGCGTTCGTGCTGCTGTCGCCGGGCGGGCCGGCCGGGCAGGCCCCCTGCCGCGTGCTGTACGCGCGCGCCTTCGGGACCCCTCCCGGGACCCCTCTCGAGGGTCCCCGGCAGCGCCTTCGCAGCAAGGAGCAGCTGCTGGTCGTGGCTAGGTAGCCGGGAGACCCCCCCGCCTCGGGGCGGCGACATCACCCTCCATGGGAACCCCCTTCCTGGGGATGCTGGGCTCAGTGGGACCCCTGTGACCCCCTCCATTCCCTGAAGCCCCTGGAGTTGTGACTCTCCATCCCTTTCCCTGGGACCCCCACAACCATGATGCCTCCTTTTTTTTTTGATGTAGGGGCTCCTGGGTTTTGCCGGACCCCCAGGGCTGAGACACCCCTTTACTGTGGGACACCCTCCCTTCCTGAGGGGAGCCTGTGCTCAGTGGGACCTCCAGAACTGTGGCAGCCCCCTTATGGGGGGACAGGGCTCAGCGGGAACCCCAGGACCATGATCCACCCCATTCATCAGATACACCCTTTTGGGGGATGCTGGGACCCTGTGTCCCCAACAGAGGGGGTCACTCTGTCCCTGGATGAGGCAGGAGTCCATAACACAAGGGTTCCCCCTTTCTCTTCCAGACAAGTGGCTTCCCAGTGCCAGCTGCTTCAGTCATCCCTGGGCCGCCTGTCCTCCCCACAGCTTCCCCAGCTGCCTGATGAGCCGATGTCACTCCAAGATGCTCCGGGGGGGCTTTTCCAGATGCCCCCTGGAGACCCCTTCCCTGACCGGGTGACAGTAGTCTGGTTATCAGTGCTGGCCCTCGCCTGTGCTTTGGTTTGTGACCCCCAGGAAAATCTGTCCTTGGCTGAAACCACCCTGCGGCGCCTGGCTCCCCGCCTGCTCATCTCCTTGCGGCTCCTCAGCCCTGGCGCTGACATCCTGCTCCGTCCCGATGCCGCTGATGCCCTCCTGGATCGTCTCCTGCCCCATGGGCAGATGCTTTTTCTCAATGAACGTTTCCTGCAGGCAGTGGACCGGGAGCTGGGCATCAAAGCATCCCGCTGAGCTACAGATGACATCCCTGCCCACCACCCCTGAATATTTTTCATTGGGGAGAGACAAGGGAAGGATCTGAGATGGTCGCCAAGCCCCATCAGGATGGATGGGAAAAGTAGCTCAGGAATAAAGAGCACCATGCCAGCAAAGAGCGGGATTTTAATCCATTTATCCCCCAACTTTGTTGTGGGAGAGCTAAAAGCCATCCCCATAAATCCATCCGGACCTGGAACAGTGCTGTGTTCCTGTGCTGTATTCTTACACTGCTCCATGCGCATGTGGCAGCGGGTGGTGGCTCCGCATGGCCGTGAATGGACATTAAAAGAGGGATGCTGGGTTACCCCAGCTGGACGTTACAGGGCAGGTGGGGGGTTCCTGACAGGGGAGACCTGGCTGTAGGTGGTGCAGAACCCTCTGCTGTGGGATGGGAGCTCACCTCAGGACAGGAGGAACCCCAGGGGACATGGGGAAGCCGGGGGTGTGCAACCAGCCCTGGTACATCAGGGCCACTGGGCAGGGGATTTATTTAAAACAGGCAGCAAGGCAGGATGTGGCCGTGCACCTGACACAGCAGGTTGGTTGTCACCAGGTGATGCTGCTTGGGGCCAGGGGACCTATGTGACACCCTGGGAGGTGGCTGGAGCTGGCACCCACCTGCACAGCTCTTCCAGCTGCCACCAGGGTGCAGTGGGGATCAGGGCTCCATCCTAGCAGTTTCTGAATGCTGGGAGAGTCAGGGAACCAGGACGTGGCATGCGTGGCTCTGCCTGTAGGACCCTGACCTACTATACAAGCACATGGTTGTGGGTTTTTGAAAAAGGGGTAGGATAAAAAGGAAGAGAGAAAAGAAGAGATGAATTAAAGGGGCAGAGAAAGAAAGAGAGAAAGAGAAGAAGGAAGAAAAAAAGAAAGGAATAAAGAAAAAAAGAAGGAAGGAAGGAAGAGAAAGGAAAGAGAGATCACCAATCCTGGTTCCAGCATCGATCCAACTGATGGGATGTCCAGGGTTCCGAGGACACCCTGAAGTCTAGTAGATTCAGGGGGGTTTGAAGGAGATAAAGAATCATCTTTCTCTGGTTCCCTGTCATTGGGATCACCCTGTATGTTTCCATCCCATGTAAGTCTGCTGTACTTTTCCTGGAACTTTGATATCTCAGTCACTATACAGCTCCATTTTGGTAGCAGTTTGCTGACCCTGACCATCATCTGTGTTTCAGTTTTAATTAAGGATCATAATGTTACTTCCTCATCATCAGATGACAAATGCTACATCTCACTTTTTGTCAGGGTAATAAAGGCGTTTACTGTCTTCCAACTCCTTCATTGGATATAAAAAGTCAGAGTTGTGCGATCATATTTTTTCAAATAGCACAGATTCTAAATCCTGCACTGGTGCCCCCTTTCCCACAGGTCCTGCTGACCTGGCCTGGGCCAGGCACCACTTCCCTTCTGCTTCTCCTCGATCTCCTGCAGCCGGAGCAGCATCTGCTCCACCATGCCAGGTCCCAGCACTGTACAACCTGGATCACATCACCCAGGATGGAGAAGTAGAGTATACTCAGCACTTTCCTAAAAGAGGGATCAAAGGAGCACCCTGAAGGGCAAGGAGGGAGGCACCCGTCAACCTGCAGCACCCTCGGCCAGGTCCCAGCCAGGCTGGCCCCCAGCCAGGACAAGCACAGTGCTCACAGGGCAGGGAGGGAGGGAGGCAGAGCCCACCTCAAAACTGCCCCACACCCTGGCTGCTGGCCTTTTGAACCTGCTTCCCATCCTCCATGCTCCTTAGCCGAGCCAGCTTTCGTTAACCATTACCACTTGGGCGGGGCGGGAGGGCAGAGGTGCCAAGGCTCCTGGGGACCAGAGTCCTCAGAATCTTGATAGGTACAGCTGCAGCAGGAATAGGGTGGCAGAGGTGTCTCATAGAACCCTGTGGCACCTATTCAAGGGACTGAAGCTGGGGGAGAAGCACAGACAAGTGGGAGGAGAGGTGATAGTGGGCTCCATTCCTTACCCCTCACGGCTTGGGCTTAGTGCATGGCTGGCACTACAGGTGTTGTAGTGGTTTGAGCCAGGTTTTCCCCCTGAAACTAAGAAAGTGGTAACCCCCAGGGGGTGGTGACCCTTGGGGCTTGACCCAATCGGTGCTCCTGCAAAATATAAACATATCTCTGGAGACCGGAAGAGAAGTAGTAGTACTTGTAGAAGAAGAGGTGGCCATGTTGTAGAGGCCACGAGGAGAAGGGGCTCCGGCCCCTTGGGGGCCTCTGCCCCCCCTCAGCCCCGGCTGGGGGGCTGCAGGGACTCAGAATGGTGTTGAAGCTGGGCTGAGTGCCTGCGGCTAGGAGCTGGGGGAGTTTCTCCCCTGTAAGTAGAAGTGGGAGACGCTGGGAGCAGCGACGGAGCAGCAGCGGAGACAGCAGCGTTCGAAGAGCAGTGGCAAAGAGCCAACTGATAAGGACCAGAAGGAGGAACATAAGCCAGTATGCTGCATGGAAAACACAGAGATGTCTGAGGAGAAAGGAAAGCAGAAAGGCAGCACCTGAAAGAAGACTGAGCCAGCAGCAGGAACAGAGTTTCGGGGTAAGAACTGGACAAACCAAACCTCCCAAACTCACTAGAGACCCTCCGAGAAAGAGGAGGGGGTGGTGGACTGAGAGGAGTCCTAAAGTGCAGTATGCACTACAGAGAGGAGCTAAGAAGCTCCGGCCTCCTGAGAGATAAGGCAGGACGGCCAAGGAATGTGTGTGGAGGGGGTGACCTTGGGCCTTCCCCCCCCTCCTTGCTGCAGCTTCAGAGAAGCTGGCAGCCATCTTTGAGTCAGAGCATGGGAGCTCTGCACAGGGGCTTGATTTCCCCTGAAGATACCAGACTGTCACGAAGACCCCCGTGCTTCGTGATATGACCGTGGTGGAACGACCTTGTCTGGGGTTACGTAGTCCACGGAAAGACCCCCGTTTGAGGACGGAGGGCCGAGGGGCTTGGAGACCCCCTCGTGTGTGCTGGCAGAGAGCCAGCAACTGTTTCTGCTGCATGGAAGAGAAGACACAGAGAGCCTGCTGCCTAGAGAGCCCTGCTGCTCAGAGACTGGAAGGGGTCTTTTCTTCTTCTTCTCTCCTGGACTTTTATTTGGAGAGAGAAGAGATTTGGCCCACTGTAAATATTATTGTCATGGTAGAGATAGATATAGAGTTAAGATTGTTTGTAATGTATTATAGTATTTATTTATGTGTATAGTCTTTGTAATATATATTCCTTCCCCCATATTGAGTCTCGTGTTTTTGTCTGGAAAACCCATCTCACATGGGGTTGAGATGTGGGTGGGGGGCTAGGAATCAGAATTGGATTTTGGGCCTGCTCAAACCATGACAAGATGTCAAGGTGGCATCCTGCTGGGGAATGGGCCATGCCCCTGGCTCTGGCACTGGCATTGGCAACACCTCTGCCACATGTGATCCAGGCTGAACTTTGCCTGGTGCGGCACTGCCCTGGGCACAGTGCTGCTACAGGATCCAGCTAGTCCCAAGGTTGTGGAGGCTGCCAGCAGGGAGGACAGCTAACACTGTGAGGATCCACCATCAGCCATGGAGCAGGAAAGTGTCAGGCAGGAGCTGGGCAGCCTCCACGGTATCCCCCTCTTCAAGGTGTTCATTGAGGGCTGGCCACAGGTGAAGGGTTTCCAAGCCCGTCCAGATGACCTGCTCATCTCCACCTACCCCAAATCAGGTGAGTGGTCCTGGGGAAGGGTGAAGGGAGGATGAGGTGACACCAGCCTTTGCAATGCTGTCCCTGTGCTGCAGGCACAACGTGGCTGAGTGAGATCATGGACATGATCTACCAAGATGGCGACGTGGAGAAATGCCGACGGGATGCCATCTACAACCGTGTGCCCTTCCTGGAAATGAAGGGCTCTGGGTTACCGAGTGGTGAGCTTCCCCAGCCTGGCTGCCTGGATTGGCTGGGGAGGGAGCAGAACTGGGGTCGGGGTGAGGGTGCTGGGACTCACACCTCTAATCCCCCTGTGCCACAGGTGTTGAGCAGCTGGAGAACACCCCATCCCCACGGCTCGTAAAGACCCATCTCCCAGTCCAGCTCCTCCCACAATCCTTCTGGGAGAAGGACTGCAAGGTAATGCTGCAGGTGTCTCTGCCTCTCTCCCCATCTGGGTTGGCAGGGAGGAGGCACTACTCTATCTTCCAACCACATCCTTGTCTGTCTCCAGATTATCTACATGGCCCGCAACCCCAAGGATGTTGTCATCTCCTACTACTACTTCTACCAGATGGCCAAGTTACACCCTGACCCTGGCACCCTGGCTGAGTTCCTGGAGACCTTCCTGGCTGGCAAAGGTGGGGGCTGGGTCACAGGATGCCCACCCTGAAATGCTGGTGGGAAGGACATCCCCTGCTGCCCTGCTTTTTAGCTAATCCCTTGACCATATTCCACAGCGGCCTACGGGTCCTGGTATGACCATGTGCGGGGCTGGTGGGAGAAGAGGAAGGAGAAGAAGATCCTGTACCTCTTCTATGAGGACATGAAAAAGGTGAGGGTGGGATGAGGGGCAAGGTGCCCTAGTTGCCCCCCCTCCAGCCTTTTTGGCAGCCTCCTCATGTCAACTGCCCTGCAGGACCCACGGCAGGAAGTGAAGAAGATCCTGCAGTTCCTGGGCAAGGAGCTGGCAGAGGGAACAGTGGAGAGGATCCTTCACAACACTACCTTCCAGGTGATGAAGAAGAACCCTGCTGCCAACTATGAGACTGTGCCCACTGCCCGGATGGACCACAACCTCTCCCCCTTCCTCCGTAAAGGTGGGATTTGGCCAGTGGTGGAGGGGTTGGGAGGAATGTCCCTGCGTTGTATTTCAGCCCCCATCTGTGGCTGCAAATATTTTGTGTGTCTCAAGATTTACCCCACTTGCTTTCTTGCCCCCAGGGATCTGTGGAGACTGGAAGAACCACTTCACTGTGGCCCAGAATGAGCGATTCAACTGGCACTACGAGGAGCACATGGCAGGCTCCGACCTCCACTTCCAGATGGAGATGTGAGGGGCTCATTCCCCTTTCCAGGAGGACTCTGCTTCTCTTTGCTCCCCCCGGTGGGGAGGGTGTGTCCAGGTGGAGCATTCTTGCACTGATTTACTTTTCCCCTGGCAATAAATTGTGATAA